TCAGTGCTCCATCTGCTCATCTGGGTGCAGGTTTTCTCTAGAGGCGTGTGTCTCAGCAGCCCGCAATGAACCACAACCGCTATCGTCGAACTCTGGCTCCATCACCAGAGAGGTCAGCACAGCAACCCAAGGGTCATCTGGGTTTGGTGGATTCGGATCATCTGTACCGTCATCATCGTTGTCTCCATCATCGTCATCATCATCACTCGTGCCATACGACAGTTCCTGGTGGGTGATAAGCCTTCAGGTGATTCAGGTGGGCTCTGAACTGAACTTCTGTTTCGAGGTCTTCAATTTCAAAGGCAACTGGACCCAGACGTCTGATGATCCTGGCAGGACCTCTCCACTTTCTGGTGAGAGGGGGTAGACCGCCCATCTTGTGTCGATGTTCAAAGTACCATACCAACGCACCTTCAGTCGGCTGAAATTCCACCTTCTTGCCTTTGTTGTATTGCTTGCCATAAATCTGTCGTGCTTCCTTAGAGGCTTTCACAGCTGCTTGGCGGGCCTCTCGTAAACGTGCTTGAAGATTCACGTTCTCATCAAAAACTGCTTCATTGGTGAGCCCAATCTGGAAGTTAGCATGGCGGCCGGTTAGCATGTAAAGGGGTTGCTCCCCTGTGGTCCGATGGATAGCCGAGTTGATCTGTAGCCGCAACTCAGGAACAAACTGGTGCCAGGTTCGTGGGCGATCATTGACAAGAGAAGTAAGGGCAGACTTTACCACACGATTGGTACGCTCAATCAAACCATTTGCTTGAGGATGGTAGCGAATGGTGTAGTGGTTGGTAGCATGCATCAGTTTAGCGAGTTCCTTAAACAGGTTGCTTGTGAATTGGACTCCGTTGTCAGTTTGGATAACCCTAGGAGGGCCGAAGAGGGTTACCCAATGGTCCAGAAAGGCTCGGTGGACAGCGACAGCAGTGACTTTCCGTAGAGGTATGATCTGCAAATACCGTGAATGCTGGTCTATGATGGATAACGCCCAGCGGATGGGAATGCTGGGCCCAAAGTCCATAATGTCCATCGAGACTCGTTCCAATGGAAAGTTAGAAAGGGGTGTCTCAGCCATAGGAACCTTTTGCCTGTCGCCTCTTGATTGTTGGCAAATCTCGCAGCATTCTACATACTGTCGTACATCTTTCAGCATGTTTGGCCAGTAGAACATTGATCTTGCATTTTGAAATGTTCGATGGATGCCTGGAAAAATGGTATACAATCCGATCTGGTAGATTCTTCAACCGGTAGAGGACGCCTTCCTTCAATTCAAAGTCAGCAAGAGGAAGAGGAAGCTTCTTAGTTGGCAGGTTTTCCCCCTTCCAAATAACTGCAAATCTCTGCAAGCTGAGGATCTGCTTTCTGCTCTTCTGCAAGGCTTTCAGGAGAGAGCTCTGTTATTGTCAGCTTTGCAACTTGTCTGGAGAGCAAGTCTGGCACTTTATTGGTGGGGCCCTCTTTGTACCTGATGCTAAAATCATAGAAAGACAAGTCATGGGCGAATCTTGTCATCCTAGGAGACTTGGTCTTCCTGCTGAACACATACACTAAGGGGCGGTGGTCGGTGTACACGGTGAAGCGCCTTCCATAAAGATAGGAATCGAAGGTCCGGACTCCTTCCACAACAGCTAGAGCTTCTAAGTCGATGGCTGGATAGCGAGTTTCTGCATCACGGAGCTTTCTGCTGAAATAGGCAACTGCATGCGGTGTCTGGTCATCATCTCTCTGCATGAGACAGGCCCCAGTGCAATACTAGAGGCATCAGTGTGAAGTTCGAATCCCTTGGAGAAGTCAGGCTGGCGTAAGACTGGAGCAGATGTCAGCTTCTCTTTCAGAGTTTCAAACGCGGCTTGTTGTTCGGGTCCCCAGGTCCAAGCTTGATCCTTTTTCAGCAACAGATGCAATGGTGATGCTAAGGTTGCATATCCTGGAACATGTTTCCTGAAAAATCCTGTTGCTCCTAGGAAACGACGAACTTCTCTAACTGTACGTGGTGGTGGGGTGTTAGAGATAGCCAAAACCTTATCCTTGTTAGGGGAGACTCCATCAGGGGAAATCGTGAAGCCGAGGAAATCTATGGTTGTGGCTGCAAACTGGCACTTGTCCATGTTAAGTTTCAGGCCGGCCAATGACAGCAACTGCAAGGTCTCGTCTAGATCTTGGAGGTGTTGGTCGAAGTTGTGGCTGTAAATGATAACGTCATCTAAGTAGGCTAATGTATGACGTCCCAGTACCGACGATAAGACGACATTCATAGTCCTCTGGAACGTGGTTGGAGCTGTTGATAAGCCAAAAGGAAGACGGCAGAACTGGAAGAGTCGGTAGCCATCTGAAAACGCCGTCTTTGGTCGATCCTCTTCTTCAATTCCACACTCCAGTATGCAGCGCGGGCATCTAAGGTGGTAAAGATGTTCTTTGGGCCCAGTTCATCGATGAGTTCGCTGATAAGAGGCAGAGGATACGTATCACCCTTGGTCACTGCGTTCAGGCCACGGTAATCAACACAGAACCTGAGAGCTCCTCCCTTCTTCTTAACCAGCACAACAGGGCTCATCCAGGGGGATGTGGATTCCTCAATGACCCCTGAGCGAAGCATAGAGTCACACTGCTCACGAATAACTTGCCGTGTTGAATGGGGTAATCGCCACTGTCGGATGCAAACAGGCTTGGCATCTCCTGTGTCAATCTGATGCTTGATTCCAGGTACAAGACCTACAGCTTCTTCACCACCATCAAAGAGCCCCTTGAAACGACAAAGCAGCTCAGTCAGCTGATGGCGTTGGGGGTCTTCAAGGTGGCCGAGATCTGGCATCGGTGGTCATCCAGGTTTGGACCGTGTTCCAGGAGTTCGGCAGCTTCACAGGCAGCAATGGCAATAGAGGGTGGCAGCTCCATGTGTTCAACCTCCAGCTCATCATCATAGCCGAAGTCTTCGACTCCATATTGTCGGTCAAAGCAATCTTCTTCCCACTCAAAGTCAAAGGTTTCTCCATCCTCAAGGAATCAGGCTCGACAGGACAGTAGTTGGACCTGGCGACGACTTCCTCAGGCATCTTGGGCAGTTGTTGAGATGGGTCATTGGTGTAAATGGCTTCTACCTGCTCTGCCTTCCCAAGGCGTGTTCCATTATGTAAAACCATCGGTTTTGGAGTCGCATTCACCACCCACACAGAGCACCGACGATCCTTCACCTTTGTGACAGCATGAGGTAAAAGAAGTCCTTTCGGCATAGCTGGAACTACAAGGATATCGCCATCTGTTGGTCCGTTCCGCGAAACACAGCCTTCAACAAAGCAGCCACTGTGAGCTGCAATACTTGCACGGTGAACAAGATGCACTGCTGCAACGGTCTGAGGATCTTGGGCAGAAACTGGTGCATCTTCACTGGCATCTTCTGTAGGTGACAGGGGTTTGATGCAACAGATCTTGAGAGACTCTGCATCAGTATATACTACTGAGAACTTGTGTCCCTGCAGAGTAATGGTGGCATTCCCAGTTGACGCTTCGGAGGAGAAAGTGAAGTCCAGCCGTCTGAGGAGATCCATCCCAATAAGTATGTCACCTGGGAAGGAGACGTCAACCACACTGGCCTGATGAACAATGACAGAATCCTCAGCCATTTGAAAGTGGAGTGTCACCTCAGTTGATACTTGGAGTGGTTGCCCTGTGACTCCTCGGAGAATCTTGGTAGACGTCCTGTGCTGAAGCTTTTGGTGGGACACGATCATGGCTACAGCACTTGGCTTGATCAAGGTGGCTTCAGATCCAGTGTCAATGAAGCACAGGGTTGTCTTACCATTAATATTGAGTCCCACGAGAGGCCGTCCTGACAACCCGAGGGAACTCAACATGGCTATCTGAGACATTGTGGTTTCTGTCTGCGTACTGGTGGAAGTTACTGCCCCTTCTGGAACTCCGCCAGCTGGACTGGGAGCTTCTCCTTGCTGGCCACTCGGAAAGGGACATTGTCTAGCCATGTGCCCAGATCTTCGGCAACGGTAGCAGGTGATGTCTCTGGAAGGATGGGGTCGGTTTCGCGCAGAAGTCACATAAGAAGCTGCTCGGCACTCAGAGGTGTTGTGAGTGGCTGTTCATGGAAGCTACACCAGGGATCACGAGGTGGAATAAGCTGTGGGTCTTCACTCTGTCCACCTGTGCAGCTATAGGGCAAGCATACAAGTCCCGAGCTCTGGGTGGGCGATCAGGATAGTGGCGGTGGTCACGGTCGTCATCCAGGCGAAACTCATTTGGAGACTGATGTCGAGTAGCTGATTCCTGATCCCGTTCCTGGAGTTCCATATCCTCTGGGCTGTTTCCGCAAGCTGCATGGGGGAGCAGTCATCTTTAACTGCCAAGAAATCCCTAAGCCAGGATGGAATGCCGGAGAGGAAAACCCGACGAACAAGCTCGGAGGGATCACCTATTGCTTCTCGATGGTCGCGATACCCCTGGTAGACGTGACCTTCTAACTGGAGATAAAAATCCATGGGAGCCTGCACTGAAGACATCCTGTTTTCATAAAGCACCTTATAAAAATCAGCAGACGTGTAAGTTCCCCTAAACTTGGTGCGTAGAGAGGCCTTAAATGTCTCCCAGTCACGGATGAAGTCAAACAGGGGAGAGTTTATTATAAGCTCTGCAGGGCCTCTACAGTTCGCTCGTGCAGCCTGGATGTAAGCCTCGTCAGTAGGTGGTTTCACGAGGTTCTCTATGGAGCGAATCCAGGCCTCCACATCCTGGTTCCTTTTCAGCGGCTGGGATGCTGAGGTGTCTCCTTTAAAATGGGGAACCGACTCCCGAGCTACAACATAGGACACAGCTGGAGTAAGGGCTCGAGATGTAGAGCTGTCATCCAAGGACCCACGTTGTGCTGCAGCTGTTAGTTGCGGTGTTCCCTGCGGCAGTCGAGGATCAGCATACTCT